ACAGAAGTTTCCGAACAATTTCACGTCATTTTCCATTTTCCATGCAGTAAAATTAGGAATTTGTTGTTGTTGAGCAGAGAGAGGTTAATGAAAGTTTAGGCTCCACTCTCAACCTCACTATTTTCCTCAAGTTTCAAGGATAGAAAAGCTTGCATCTGATCAAATTTGAGCATGGATATTTATTTTTAACCTTTTAACCAAGGTGAACCATCCCAGATCTGATTCATTGTTATTGTTTATGTAAAACATGTGTTTGTACGCTGAAGTGAGCATGACGGATGTCTTGCTGTTCCACTGTCCGCCTCTTTAGTCAAATTGAATTGTGGCCACTCCACCTCGATCCCTTGTGCTGACGGGCTGTGTTGTGGTGTGTTTGTGTGTGTGTTTGTCTTCTCTTATTGCAGATATCGGTTACGAGTCTCTGATCAACCTGATGTTGAAGGATCTGTTTAAGCTTCTGGTGGCCTGTGTGTCTGAACCTGCAGAAACCATCTCCAGAGTGGGCTGCTCCTGCATCCGGTGAGGACACATAACTCCTTATCTTCTTTGGGAGTTGTCAGTTATACATCTATCACCACAGTGAAACGATCAAAATCATATATTAGGATTAGGATAGCATGTTTTAAATTGCAAGAGCCAAGATTTTACTGATTACCTAAATTATTAACAACTCTTTGCTGTTGTCTGGTTATTGTGCTCTGTATGCTGGTGTACTGTTTACTGTCAGCCAAAGTTTGACAAATGTTGGACTTTTGTCTTTCTAACGACAAATGAGGGGTCAGTCTTTGTCTATATAAATCATAAAAAAGAATTGCAATTTAAAATGCAACTGGAATATTAGCTAGAAAAATTGTAATTGGATGGTACGGAGAGGGAATTCTGGGATTTAAGGGCCAAATTCTTAGAAGTCTGAAAGAATAAGGGGCTTGTAATATTTATATTTTTCTTACTGTTAGGAAATCCCATGAAAAGACTAAAACCAACAACACATTTATCCAAGTAACAACCATTGTCTGTGTATCCAAAGCCTGCCATGTCTTCTACATCTGTCCCATAGACCTCAACTGTTGTTAAAAACACACCAATGAGCCACACTGTTCCTTCATTACCACACCTTCAAGCACTCACTATAGTTTATTCTGACTCAATCCCACATACACTATCCTGCTGTACGGAATACTCACTGGAGCACCAAATGTGGTTTAATCCGCCACTGAAAATAGTCCCCATCAAACGCATTATTTTAGCCCAGTTTGAGTAATGTCTGCTGAAAACTACAGGGCCCAGCTGTTTTAGGACATTGCTGAGCCTTTTTAGAAAATAAACTTTATATATGTGAGGAATTTTTTAAGATTTACGTCTTTAGTAGGAACCAATGGGCTTGCAGCTCAGCGTCACAAACACGGAAATCAGGAGGTTGTTGATTAAAGATTAATTTCTTCTGACCTAAACACTGTTGTTTCTTTTGTTCTGTTTCTCTCCAGGTATGTTTTGGTCACAGTGGGTCCAGTGTTCACAGAGGAAATGTGGAGGTTGGCCTGCTGTGCTCTGCAGGACGCTTTCTCTGCTACCTTAGAGCCTGTCAAGGTACGCACACACAGACTGCCTCACACAATTGCATGTTAATACCAAGTGGTGCTTAGAGATAAAATGTCACATGTCAGCAGACACGCAAATGAAAACAGAAGGAAAAATATACAGATACAAAAATGTACAAATATACACATATAGAAGCAAACTCTCTCTCACACTCAACAGGCCACTCCACTGTAGTAAACACAATAATCCATCCCCAATCTGAAGCTGCTGGTTGGGACAGAAGTAATCTAAAAGCCTTTGCTGTTAATACTGTCAACATGCTGACACTCCATGTTAAGCTTGATAACCCCAGTTAACCTCACACACACACCGACAGTGTGACGAGTCCTGCAGCTGTGAGCAGCAACGGTGAGTCTCCCAACGGTGGCAGTCTTATTCTGCTCCACCTGTCATCTCTCTGTTAAACTGGTTCAACTGGGAGAAGCAAGAAACAATGCTGCTTTGCAGCTTTTTTCCTTTCTTCGTCTGATGACTACTACTGTAGACTACTAACATACTACAGTTGATACCACATTTCTCCAAAAGTAAGATTTGCAGATCTGAACTGAATACCGCATACCTTCCAAACATGTAAGAGAAATAACGGTGGCCTTAAAAATGCTAAAGACCCAATCTAGAGCCAGTGTTTGCTTTGTCCGTTCTGGGCTACTGTAGAAATATGGTGATTCAGTATGGAGGACTCTGTAGAAGAGGACGCACTCCATCTGTAGATAAAAACAGCTCATTCTTGGGTAACGAAAACACAATGATTCTTTTTTTCTGTTTCTGTCAATAAGTCCTCTTATATGTACACACTGGACCTTTAAATGACAAAGTATGAATTACAGTGACATGTTTAAAGTTTGAATACACTTACACAAGTAATTTCCCCACGGGGA